AATAATAATTAATTGACTACAAACCCAAAGGAGATCAGCTTTGGATACATCACAAAACAGGTTTTGCTATCAGACCACTAAGAAGGATCTAGTAATAGGAGAATGTAGCTGTGTGCATTAAAAGTCCAGGTCAACCCTAGGATTCACAGGGGTGAGGGTGGGAAGGGCGGGGTGGTAGTGTCACACTATCACATGTAAAAGTATATAAGGCAGAGGATCTACAAATTTCTCCAGGAGACCAGGAGACAGTAATGACATACAGAGTACTGTCATGTAGCCCGGCCAAGAGAAAAACAATTTTTTTGCACAGAATAGCAGGACAAAAAAAAAAAAAAAAAGAAAGAAAATTGTTTAAAAAGAGAAAAAAAGCAAAAATACAAAAAAGGGGGGTGGGGGGGGGAGGGAGCCCTAGCAAAAGCTCAGTGGATAGAGCATCAGCCTGCAGACTGAAGGGTCCCAGGTTCAATTCCAGTCAAGGGCACATGCCTGGGTTGCAGGCTTGATCCCCAGTGTGGGGCGTGCAGGAGGCAGGCAATCAATGATTCTCTCTCATCATTGATGTTTCTATCTCGCTCTCTCTCTCCCTTCCTCTCTGAAATCAATAAAAATATATTTTTAAAAAAAGGAGGGGGAAGAGAATAGCAGAAGGAATCTTACCAATACATTTCCCCAAATTTAAGCTGCAGTGTTAGCCAAAAATCCTGATTCATATTAGGTTATTGCAATGATATATAATAGCTTTTGATTTCCTATCCTTTAAAGGCTTATACGCATTATATTGTATATATTACATACAACACATGGTATGAGAAGTATTAACTGTGTGCTAAAAAAAAAATACAAATGAAGCTATTATATACCAAATACCAAAGATGTAGTTGCACTATATATATGACGGCCAAATTTGCATCAACAAAGTGCAAAACAGAATCTCTTTTTTATGCCATAAGCATCTGTAGACACAAGCAGGGGACCTTCCCCACACGCCATGCACATCTATAAAATAAAAATGTTTTCCCTAAGTGGCAGCCCTGACCAACTTTAAAATCATTTTTCGTGAGAGAATTTTCAGCTGAAAATATTCAAGGACACCCGAATTGTAAGTAATATATTTATTTTTATAATACTCATTGCAAATTGATTTTTTAAATTAAATTCAAAATATCGTGGCATGTAGGGATGGTTTCCGTTTTGGACATGTGGCAGTTAACTGGTTAAAAACAATTCATTTCAGTAGAGGAAAGAGATGACTTTGGAGAAAGAGAAAATTGTTTTGGAAAAGACATAGCATGATGGGGTTTCTGTGATTAGAGGTCAGGGACTGGCTGGAATGGAGATCCTACCCACAGAGAAAACAGAAGCAAGAGATCTGCTGTGGTGCTAGCAAAGTACCCTCTGACCCAAAGTACTGTACATGTTACATGAAACACAGAAGCAGCCAGCACCTCGTTTCAGGTGAAGGATGTCATCCTATACTTTTCCCTAGGTAGCTTGATGGCATCTCTTTCCAGGCACGATGAATCAATAGTGCATACAACCTCTCCACAGAGTAACTCTGATATTTTAAAAGGAAGTAGTTTCTCAAGTAGTAGAACTCAAGTAATAAAATATGTATACCCACCCATATGGTTGGAGGTAAGCACAAAAGAGCTTACCTTTAAAAATAATTTGCTTTCCACAATAGCAAACATATATAAAGATAAGACCGGGGTCATATTCTATAGAGCAATGAATCATGCAAAATTATTGTGAAAAATTCATTTCTTCCTACAACATTCAAATGAATATAAACGGTGAAAGGTACCTCAAAAATATAAAACAGGTCATACATTTAAAAACATACATTTTTAAATAATAAAGGTAAATATAAATAATGTCTTCTAATATATCAGGAAACAAGAAACTATCTAGAGCAGCCGTTCTCAACCTGTGGGTCGCGACCCCTTTGGCAGTCGAACGACCCTTTCACAGGGGTCGCCTAAGACCATCCTGCATATCAGATATTTACATTACGATTCATAACACTAGCAACATTACAGTTATGAAGTAGCAACGAAAATAATTTTATGGCTGGGTCACAACATGAGGAACTGTATTTAAAGGGCCAGAAGGTTGAGAACCACTGACAGAGGTTTCATTTATTTTCTAAAATTAAGGATTTTCTCATATCCTTTTAGTTAGAGAATGAACAAATTCAGGAAGAATGATTCTCCACTCTTTGAAAATTTACAATGAACAAAATCATTACTTGTTTTTAAAAATACCTTAAAGTTGAGATTAAGGGTTATACAAACCATGAATATATTTTATAAAATGTCAGACTTTTGTAACTATAAAATATTTTAATTACGTTATTCTTTCTATTATCAGGAAGCTATATTAACCTGGAAACTAATTCCTGAAATATATGGATAATTCTCTGTATTGGTTCTCTCACAATATTAGAAACTTTTTTCCTCATTCTAAACATCCCTCAGTATACTTACTATCGATGTACTACTATGGTGATGATTTAGGAATTGATATTCTTATATAGGACTTTCTCTATATATCAATATTAACAATGTTCAAAAATATTCCTCTATTTGAAGCTATAAGTATAAAAATTCAACTATTTAAAACAAAAAAGCAAATAAACTAAAAAATTGGTCAGAAAAAATCTATTTTTTACATTGAGATCCTGAATATAGTAAATATATAAAAACAAGTCAAATGGAAATGTTTAGACATATTTTTTATATGTTTATATGATGAAAGCTTATTTCTTATTCAAATTATTAATCCAAGTATGTTGAGCAGTGAGACAGAATTATGATGTGGCGCCCTCTGCTGGGTTTTCACAAACTCAACCTAAAATCACAATTAGTGTAAAATCAAATACTTGAGTGATTAATTTAAAGAAGAAAAAAAATCTGAAAAATTACTTTTTTAATCCTTGATCGTTTTAAGCCTTGGCAAAGACTATATAAAAATTATAATCAATTCTTACTTTATTGTAACCAATTTTTTTCATTAAGCAAAATATCAGTATAGATTTTTCTTTTAAAATAAAAAGAGTGTAATGTCAAAGTTACACTAAACAACATGTTTTAATAGGTCTTATTTTTGTCACCACTTCTATCACTTGGAATATTCAGGATTTGAAGGCCACATTTATAACAAGACAATATATTCAGGTTTTGAAGGCCACATTTATGGCAAGACATTTTAACAAATTACTATTTTGCTCATTTATTTTTCCTGCCTTATTAGTTCTATCAAGATAGTTATTTTAAAACATCAGAATAACTCTTAATATTATCTTCATTATTAGAAAAAAACTGAAAAATTTTAGAGATACTCATCACCAGTAATAATAAACTCTATAGTGTCCACTATGAAAATGCAACATATATTATACACTTTCTATACATTATATCCAGTTCCAAGAGGTTTTTTAAAAATTGTGGCTCATAGAAATGATATAAATTGCTCAAGATGAATTTCAGAACCAAGATTCAAATGTAAGTAGGTCTCATTCCAAAGACTCAAATCTTACTACCAAACAATAGACAGCAGTGAAGAAATACTTTCAACATGAAATTTCTCCCTTTGTCAATGCAACAAATGAAGTGCATATTCTATGCAGACATTATTCTATGCAGACAAGTGAGGGTTTAAGGGGTGGGGGCAGCTGATAGGAAAAAATGTTAGAACAGTATAAGACAGCTAATCCATATATAAAGTAATAGCTTGGACCTTTAGGAAAATATTTTTGTTTTACATAATGCTGCCAGCTAGTGACCCTGTTTTATACTGAGTCACTGGGAACAATATTTTATTTTTACACTACTGAATCAAAATTTCCATATTTAACACTCTCCAATCATGTTCCTAAATGCATAAGCCTGACTTAATGATATTTTACATTACCACAGAATTAAAGGAGGATGCCTCCTCAACCACCATTAGCATCCCTTGGCCAGTCCTTGCCTAAAACCCCAATAAAAATATGAGATATGCCTAAATAGGAAACAATTCAGGAAGTGCCAACATGTAGAAACGAAAAGATATCCATGAAAAATAAACTTACATAATTTTAAATATTTTAGGATTCCTGAGGATATTTATAAAATCCTTAGTGACAAAATGCATATTTTTCTATACATGAAAAGTTTGCCATAATGTGGTGTATAGAATATGACATTATTCTATGCAGACCTAAAATTAGGGAATTTAATAAAGCAATACTATTAGCAAAGAAAATTGTTTTAGTTCCAACAATAAGTAGTTACAGTTCTAAAATTTCCTTTGAGAAAAAAGGTATTCGAGTACAATTTTTAACATTTACAACTGTCATATCACATTGATAATTCATTATCTTAAGAGAAATATCCTAAGCAATACATATGAAGGGGTACCTAGCTTCTATCATGGTATGCTATTTGGTGCAATGATATAAAGATTTTTTTAATTTCTGTAATAATATGACTTTATAATGATTTAAATGATTTTTTCAATGGAGAAATCACGACTTACAGGCTTAGATGAAAACAGCAATATATTCTATAATAGCATAATATTGCATAAAACAAAAACATTCTGGCATTAAAGTATATTAACAGCAAGGGAAAATGTTCTGGTTCCATTCTGTAGTGAGAGAAAAGAAGCAGGAAGTGGAAAAGAAAGCACCCAAACCACAACAAAGAAGAGACAGCCCCTTTGTTGGATTAACTGAGAAGGTCAAAATGAAAAGAAGAAACAAAGGGGATAGTACTGGAGAGTCCAGGATTCCTCTGACCTACATTCTCTCTCACACACACAACTGCCAAGTGTAAAACTGCCTTATCCCACTTAGTAGGCGCATTGTATAGGAGGCTCATTTTGCAGCTAAAAACTGTAAGAGTTTCTATTATACACACACATTAGTCAGTATAATAAACATTAGTGAGAACAAACACCAATTATAAATTCACTTTTTAAAACACAAAATATTTCTACGTAGTGATCATATAACTTACAAACATTTCCTGTATTGTCAAAGCTGGTAAGAACATCTTCAATATTCAAAGATCCACTATTATGCCTAGAAAGGAATAAAACATTTTCTTTAATGATTCTGGAACATTAAGATTTGCTTTTAAAAAAAAAAAAAGTGATACACCCAATACTAACAAACCTTTCCATATTGTATTTTTAAAATATTTCTGCCCACTAGAGGGAGAAGGAAAATAAATAACAGAATATAGTCCTCCTGATATTTAATGAAATAACATTTCCTGATGCTTGATCTACATTTTAAAGTACTAATATTTTTGTTGTTTTAGTTATATAAAGGTGGAATTAATTATTAGCCTTTTTTTTTAAATCCTCACCCTAGGCTATTTTTCCATTGATTTTTAGAGAGAGTGGAAGAGATAGGGAAAGACAGAGAAATATTAATGTGAGAGAAACACATGGATTGGCTGTCTCCTGCACACGCTCCAACCAGGGCACGGGCCAGGGAGGAACCTGCAATGGAGGCACGTGCCTTGATTGGAATCAAACTCGGGATCCTTTGGTCCACAGGCCTACACTCTCTCCACTGAGCCAAACTGGCTAGGGCAATTATTAACCTCTCTAAAGATAACAAAACCTTACACTTGGAGAATCTCAAAAGGAAAATAAGCAATCAACCTCCAGAACCTCAACAATACATAAATGTACTTTATAACAACCCAAAGAATTCAGAACTTCAGTCACAAGGAACTAACCAACCTTCAGGTCTTCACGTTCCATCTATAGGGAATTATAAATGTCAGAGGGCAAATTCTTTGTATCTTTTGCCCACTAATCTTAATTCCACTCTCTTTAATTCTAATCTCTCTTCACTTGAAAACCCTTTAAATGTTTAATTTAATTACTAATATTTATTCATCCTTATAAAAGATACTATTCTTCACATACAAATGGACCCAACAGTCAATAATAGGTCATAGAGTTTGAGTTACTTTTCCAGGGGTGGTAAAATATTGGTGCTAATGCAATCTTCTACATACTACTCTATATGCCTTAAACCAGGGGTCCTCAAACTATGGCCCGCGGGCCACATGCAAATACAAATATTGTATTTGTTCCCGTTTTGTTTTTTTACTTCAAAATAAGATATGTGCAGTGTGCATAGGAATTTGTTCATAGTTTTTTTTTAAACTATAGTCCGGCCCTCCAACGGTCTGAGGGACAGTGAACTGGCCCCCTGTTTAAAAAGTTTGAGGACCCCTGCCTTAAACCTATAGTTCTTTAAAGTATTATAACAATTTACAATAACCATTTATAATAAAATTTACAACAACACTACTTTAACTTTGACCTACAAACCAGGAGATTCAATTCCATTAGATTCCCAGGCAGGGCATATGCCCAGGTTTCGGGCTTGATCCCCAGTGTGGGGCGTGTAGGAGGCAGCCAATCAATGATTCTCTCTATCATTGATGTTTCTCTCTCTCTCTCTCTCTCTCTCTCTCTCTCTCTCTCTCTCTCAAATTAATATATATATATATATATAAATATATAGAAGTATAATATAAAAATATTAAATGGCTGCTAGGCTGTTTTGTTTTGTTTTGTTTTTGAATTTGAGCCCAGTTCGCCACGGCAGCCCTTTTTATAAGTATCTTCTTTCTCAGGATTCACACTACTAACATTAAAACTATACTTTTTAAATGTAACTTCAGTGTTCATGTTGCCTCAGATGCCAGCCTTGCCAAGCTTTACATGGGCACCTATAATATCCACACATATAAGGATGCCATACATCTAATATCGTACGCATACCATTCCCATCACTATTTTTTATCTACTGAGCACTCACAGGATACTTACTAAATTCAGTGGGGTGAGGATTTGCTTTATGTTTTTCCTTTCCCTAGAGAAGCAATATATGATCTTGCTGCAGTGTATTTGTTTTACTAGAAAGATGCATCACAAAGACAAAGTCATTCTTGACTTCTTGCCCATTCTAAGCTCCTAGGACAAGCCGAAAGTCAAGAGTTTTCTAATTCAGCAATTACCATAGCAACAGGAGTCTTATTCAAAGAAAGGAGGACAGTTAAGCCTCTCAGCTTTTTCTATACCTAAGACATGTACATATTTATAAATGAATATTTCAGGCAATTCTATGGTTCCAAATATAATGGAAGTATTGTAAAGCTTTCAGAATATATAAATTCCTACTACACTAAAAATAAGTTGACATATGGGGGAGTGGGGAACAATTTCTAGTATCTATACAGTAAATTCTGTATGAAAACAGATTCCAGCTTATAAATCTGGGAGAAAGAATTTTTAATGAAAGATTTTTAGTATAAACGTCTCCTACTAGTTTCCTGTACATGCATCTATCTAATAGCAAGAGCCTTTTCTATAAAGTTCTAAGAAATAAAGCACCAGAAAGACCAGAAGATTTTGCCAAGGAATAAAATACAAGTCATGTCCCAAAATTTGATTTCCGAATTCTCAATACTCACTTTAGAACAGAGTCGACCATTCTCAGATATTTAGAAAAGACAACAGATCTTGGGGATTTCATAACCTAATGTTTACATTGTCCAGACTTTTGCTTCTGATGAAAAGTTACCAAGGGAAATTCTTTATTCTTTCTTTTTAAGAATCATCATGTAAAGCTGACAGAAAATAATGGTCAAAGTTTTAATGTGGACCACGGCTTATAAACCTTTTAATAGTATAAAAAAGATACACCTATGTATTTTGAATTCAAAAATATCTAAATTGTCTAAGTATTTACCCTCTTGGAGTATTGATTTCAAGTCGAGTAAAACTTTACAAAAACAAACAAAAAAACTTTAAAGAAACAGAAATCAATATGTAGGGAAATTTTAAGGATAAGACTAATAAAAAGTATTGGTAAGTATTAATTACCATATCAATTACCATATATACATCATCTCTGTTAAACCGTGGCAGGTGATCTTAGGTGATAAGAACTAAGAATGCAAAAATGGGGTTTATATTTATGATCTCTGAAGAATAAAACATCCCAAATGCTCAACCCTTTATTAGAACCCAGAAGCCGATCCACGTTATAACATGCATTCATCACCATTCCTCCCCATAGAGACGGTGGTCTTCTCAGTAGCCTCTGATGATTATGCCTTGTACTTGCTGACTGCTATGTTTTCTAGTGCCTTTCCCCTCATCGGGAATTATTTCTTCCATTCTCCCAGAATGTTCAAATACTTCCAGATCCAGTTTAAACTGCTGCTCCTCAAGGCCTTCAAAATCACTCGTACCCTAAACTCCTAATATGCGTGAAGTTTTCCACTCATTTGGTAATTAGTTATGCATTGCCTGGTGATAATTCTTAGAATAGATGTTTAACTTAACTTTCCTTCTTATTTAATTATTATTTTTTAAAAATTTTGTTAATCTTCACCTGAGGATATTTTTTCCATTGATTTTTAGAGAGTAGAAAGAAGGGAGGGAAGGAATGGATGGAGGGAGGGAGAAACACCGATGTGTTGCCTCCCATACAAACCTCGACCAGGCTGGCAAATGAACCTGCAACCCAGGTATGTGCCCTTGACTGGGAATTGAACCCATGACCAGGGCCAATGCTGTACCACTGAGTCACACTGGCCATGGCTTAATTATTTTTTATTATTTAACTTTTCACTTATTTAAGCTCCTTGAGGATAATATATCTTATATTTCTTTTTGTTTACCTACACAGAAGGTGCTAATAAATATTTTTGATTTGAATTTATTTTAAATTATTCATCACGTTTTTTCAATCATTCCATAGTGTTGAAACCCACGTGAACAATATTGGTAATGGAATGGAATGAATTGTTCTTGTAAGAAATCCTCCCCTAAGCAATGTCAGTAATTTTTGTTGCAATTTCCTATATAGATTTTTTACAGAGAGGAAGGGAGAGGGATAGAGAGTTAGAAACATCGATGAGAGAGAAACATTTTTGATTTGAATTTATTTTAAATTATTCATCACGTTTTTTCAATCATTCCATAGTGTTGAACCTGGGACCCTTGAGTCTGCAGGCCGATGCTCTATCCACTGAGCCAAACCGGTTTGGGCAATGTCAGTAATTTTTGTTGCAATTTCCTATATAGTAACAGAATTATGGAGTAAGAAATGGAATACTCAGAATAATCAATGAGGAAATTGGTTTTACTAGGCCTCAATCCTTTCATCTGAAAAATGAATAAATAGATGCATGATTGCCTCCCAAGAGGCCAGATGTGTAGAAGTTAAGCTGGGTGAAAGGTACCTGGAGCTCCTCGTACTATTTTTGCAACTTCCTGAGAGTCTGCAATTATTTCAAAATAAAAGTGTTTAAAAGTACAGACTGTGGAACCAGACCACCAGGGTTTGAGTAGAGGCATAATCAATGGAGTTATTTAACCTCTCTGGGCCTTACTTTCATCTGTAAAATGAAGATAATAACAGTATTTACCTTATAAGGTGTTATGAGGATTAAATAAGCTAATACATGTAAACCATTCACAACAGTGCTTGTCACATAGTAGGCACTCAATAGTCAGCCATTATTAATGCTGTTATGACTTTTTTAAATGCATTCTAAGATCACATTCAGTTCTAGAATTGTGTACATTTAAGTTATTTGGGCAAATATTTTTTTAATCCTCATCCAAGGATATTTTTCCATTGATTTTAGAGAGAATGGAAGAGAAAGGGAAAGAGAGAAAGAAACATCAATGTGAGAGAAACACATCGATTGGTTGCCTCCCGAATGTGCCCTGACCAGGGCCCAGGCCAAGGAGGAGCCTGCTACCGAGGTACCTGCCCATGACCGGAACCGAACCTGGGACCCTTCGATCCACAGGCCGACGTTCTATCCACTGAGCCAAATAGGCTAGGGCAAATTTTTAGCTCAGTCACCTCTCTTCTCTCCATAAAGTAGGATTAAATGCCACATTTATATAGACATACCCGTATTTTTTCTTCCAAAACTGGATATATCACAACCTGTTGGAAAGGAGTCAGTTTACATTCTAGCCTGGCTTCCAGCTACATCCAGGTCATCTCTATACACTAGGTGGAGAACCACACCTTATTTTGAAAGTTCTCAAGAATAACAGATGTCACATGCTCTCTGGCAATGCTTTCCAGGGCCTTGCAGACATCAGGAAATTATTCTTGGCACAGTTTACATTTATTGCCTCTTGTCACCAGTGGATGTAAAAGATATGTTTTAGAACTTTGTACCTGAAGACCCCTGGATCACTCTGTTTTTCCCTCTCTTTAATTTCCTCATATATACTATCTTCCAATTGTTTATCTTCATTTCTATTTCCCAGAGTTATTGTAAGGATTACATGAATTAGAATACATCAAAGCACCCCCCTCTGTACCTGGCTCATACTAAGCATCTAATGCATTTTTCTTTCTTTCTTAACCAAGGACTAAACTAATTATCTCTATTAGAATGTGAGGCAATTGAGGTGGTCTAATTAGAATCTCATAAAGAATGTACAGGCAAGCTAACAAACCCAAAAGTTCTTATCTTTCATTTGAACTTTTCAATAAAGCAGTATTACCAAACCAGTTCCTAGTTGCTCTTCCCTGCTCACCCCAGTCAATTTTTGTCCAAATCCCAAATTTTAGCTATTATGGTGTCTTTAAAGCTTAAATATTTTAAACTAAAATAGTTCAAGGAATCCTATATAATAAAAGGGTAATATGCAAATTGACCCTAACAGCAGAATGACTGGTCACTATGACATGCACTGACCATCAGGGGTCAGACACTCAATGCAGGAGCTGCCCCCTGGTGGTCAGTGCATTCCCACAGGGGGAGCTCCACTCAGCCACAAGTCGGGCTGACAGCTGCAAGCACAGCAGTGGTGGTGGGAGCCTCTCCTGCCTCCTCAGCATCGCTAAGGATATCCTCGCGGAGAGCTGGCCTAAGCTGTCAGTCGGACATCCCCTGAGGTCTCCCAGGCTGCCGGAGGAATGTCTGACTGCTAACTTAGGCCCGAAACCCCGGGGAGCGGGCCTAAGCTGACAGGTGGACATTCCCCAAGGGTTCCCAGACTGTGAGAGGGCACAGGCCGGGCTGAGGGATCCCCTGCCGAGTACACAAATTTTTGTGCACCAGGCCTCTAGTACAGTGATGGCAAACCTATGACACGCGTGTCAGAGGTGACACGCGAACTCATTTTTTTGGTTGATTTTTCTTTGCTAAATGGCATTTAAATATATAAAATAAATATCAAAAATATAAATCTTTGTTTTACTATGTTTGCAAATATCAAAATATTTCTATATGTGACATGACACCAGAGTTAAGTTAGGGTTTTTCAAAATGCTGACATGCCGAGCTCAAAAGGTTCACCATCACTCCTCTAGTATCTATAATAATAAAAGCATAATATGCTAATTAGACCAGACATCCTTCCTGCGAGGAAAGCCCTGGTCCCGGGTGCCTGCTGGCGGCTGGAGGGAAGCCCAGGTCCCGGGTACCAGAGGGAAGCCGGTGCTGGCAGCTGGGGGAAGGAAGGCCTACTCTTGCACAAATTTCATGCATTAGGCCTCTAGTATACTATAATTAGACATCCTTTGGGAGAACTTTTTTTCTTAAAAGTATTTTTAGCCTTACCTAAACCTTATTCAGTCACTTTTCTGCTTAAAATGTTTCTTGTTCTTCTTATAGTTATTGTAAATGTGCTCCTCCCTCCCTTTCAAAATGTGAAATCTTGTTCAAAAAAGGGGCATATTTTATAATGTCAAACACCTAAACTGATATTGCAACATGCTAGATTATAGCTGTGAGAGAAAAGTAATTCAGTAAAAATAGTATCTTGCTATTTCAGTTTGCAACTCTCTTGTCTCTTTTCTAATGATTTTTAAAGCCAGAACAGTCTGCATGCTTCTCACAATATCAGTGTTTTCAGCTGAATTTTCTCCTCCTATTCTTAAGATTCTATTCTGAAAATGACAAAACATAAATGGAATAAATACCAAAGCTTGATTTTTTAGATAACTACTACTTGAAGAGTAGCTTAGACAAATCCTGTGTTCACTTTCAGCCTTCCTTGCCTCACAAAGAACTTGGCTTTTTGTCATAATCAAATGCTATGAGAGAATGGTTAAATGAACCCTTTGATTTACACCACAGTTTATCCTCAAATGTCACTACATTTTGGAAAATTTTTTTCTTATTTCTGATAATACAGCAAGAACACATTGAAGCAGCAGGAATTCCTTAACACAAAGTTAGAAAACCTAACTTCTGATAAAGATTGCTTGCAAACTCAATAGAATGAACAATGAGGTTATTATTGTTTCTCTTTTATAAGAGAAAAATGCCTTTTTTTTTTTTAAATCCTCACCCAAGGACATGCTTGGGAGGGAGGGAGGGAGGGAGGGAGAGACCTTGATGTGAAAGAGAAACATGGATTGGCTACCTTCTGTATGCTCCCCAACTGGGAATCAAACCTGAAACCCAGGCATGTGTCCTGACTTGGAATGAAACCAGCAAGCTTTTGGTGCACAGGACGACACTCAACCAACTGAGTCACTCTGGCCAGGTGAAAAAGACTTTTTATTTTATCCATAGATAGTTATTAGTTTATTTGAAAAAAAGGCTTTTATGAACAAAATCTTAACTAGAGTGATGTTTACCTTAAGAAAATACTGTATTCAGGGTAGAAGACACTTGTATATTGGACCCATGCACCAAATTCCTCTTCAGTTTCCCTTTCTTTGGCTTCTGTTACTGAAAACAGATTAAATGATTCAAATCTTCTTACAGATACATGTCGTAGACAACCATCCAGGTGTTTTTGCTTCAGAACCTTTGAAATAAAACCAAATATTGTGATCATATTATATAAACATAAGTTCAGTGTACATAACCAGATCACATACATAAGCAATAGCTAAGCCTCTCTTCAGGGTGACAGAGTTTTGAATGTGAATCCTTTATCTGCAAGCAAATAAAATTACTAACAACAACCACATCCACTGTGTTTAGTTATAAAATAGCAGGAACTGTACAGGTTGGGGCAAAAGTAGGCTTACAGTTGTTCGTATGGAAAACAATATAATAATTAATAAATAACACCAAAATAAACTGTTTCATATACTCACAGCTATAAACCTACTTTTGCCACACCCTGTACAAGATGAACCTGAAACATCCTACACAAGAAAACAAGAAGGCCATACAAAATTAAGGGTTATATTAAAAGTATTCAAGAGCCAATTTGAATAGGGTCCATTGGCCAAAGATGGGAAATGGTGAGTAATAGCAAAGATAATAGATGTAATAGAATTGAAACACATTAGTGCATGATATTTTTCAAATGCCTCACTAATGATTATGGAAGGATGCTAGAGAACCAAGTTAGTATTGAAAATCAATACTACAAAGAAAGAGGCCCTAGCCCAGGGGTGGGCAACCCCTGGCACACGTGCAAAACATGGCACGCCAGTAACTTTTGCTGGCACTCGAAACCCTCTCTTATAATCTTCCATTTACAATCGTGAATCTTTGTTCTCAGTGATGAATTTTGTTAAGTCTCGTAATAGGAGTAGCCTGACGGATGAAAGTAGTAGCTCCTGCATATCTCTGAAGGTCACAAAATATAAACCCGATGTAAAATCTCTGTCATCAGTGATGCAGCAGCAAAAGTCCCACTGATAATATCAAATGGAGTCATAAAGTTTTCTGTTGGACTATCAGTGTACATGTATACATTAAAAAATAAATGTATTTTTCATCATCATATACTGTGTTTTTGTCGCTCGAATGAATTTTATTATTTCTTCAAGGTTCTTCACATACGTACACCTTAAGAGATATCAAGTAGGCGTAACATGTTCTCAAAAAATTAGGGTTGGCACGCAGAAGAATTTTGAGTCAGAGATTTTGCTGGTTTTGGCACGCACTCACAAAAAGGTTGCCCACCCCTGCCCTAGCCGGTTTGGCTCAGTGGATAGAACATCGGACTGTGACCAAAGAGTCCCTCCCGGGTTCGATTCTGGTCAAGGGCACGTACCTAGGTTGCAGGTTCCTCCCCAGCCCGAGTTCTGATTGGGATGCATGCAGGAGGCAATCAATCGATGTGTTTCTCTAACATTGATATTTCTCTCTGTCTCTCCCTCTCTCTTCCACTCTCTCTAAAAATCAATGGAAAAACATCTTCAGGTGAGGATTAAAAAAAAAAAAAGAATCAAGTACTTCTCTGTCTTTCCTATATGAACTGTAATTGAGAGTCCAAGTAGAAGATCTGGGGAAGTTTCTCTTTTCTTTTTTTTAAAATATATTTTATTGATTTTTTCACAGAGAGGAAGGGAGAGGGATAGAGAGTTAGAAACATCGATGAGAGAGAAACATCGACAGGCTGCCTCCTGCACACCCCTCACTGGGGATGTTGCCCGCAACCAAGGTACATGCCCTTGACTGGAATCGAACCTGGGACCCTTCAGTCCGCAGGCCGACGCTCTACCCACTGAGCCAAACTGGTTAGGGTGGAAGTTTCTCTTTATAGTAGTTTTCCAAGTAATAAATGAAGAAGGAATAACAGAATTAGAATATCACCATTTTCAACCCTTTCCTGAATTCATGAACCTAGGTAACCATCACCGAAAAAGAGAAATAACCAGGCATCACTGTGATTACTGATAATAACTGTGAGAGAAAGTATATAACACCATCATCTTGACCAACCAAACCAAACAAAAAAACATCAAATCTGAATTTTCCTCTCTTGCCCCCTCCAAGAAAGAGCATATTTCTCTGCCCCTTGACCTTAGGCTTAGCCAAGTATCTTACTTGAGTCAACAGGATGTTAACAGGAGCTTAAAATGTGTTTCAGTGGTTAGGTTTACTCTCTTATACCAACTGGTCCAAGGATTAGAAGAACCATGTGGACCAAGAATATAGCACAGAGCCACTCAGCTGATTACAGCCCATGTCAGATATCTCCCAAGTGGCCTACAAATGCACAAGCAGAACAAATGCTTGTTGTTGTTTGCCACTATAATGTTGTAGCTGTTTGTTACTCAGCAATTGCTGGCTGATGCAAAACAGTGAGGACTGGGTGCTATGGACCACTTAAAGACTGCCTTTAAGGTTTTCCACAACAATTGACAATATCTACTAAAAACCAACTAGCCAGGCCCTGTGCTAGGTGCAGAGGATGGAGATTCATAAAATATCTTTTCCCAGAGAAAACTCCCATTCTAGTGAGAAAGATGGACTCTGATCAAATGATCATAAAATAATGTGATATGGGGTTCACCAGAAGAGTGAACTAAGGGTCTCAGTCCAGAGGAGTGAGTCTTCACTAAAAGAGGAGATTGAAATGGAGGCCTGAAGGATAAACATTCATTTTTCAAGTAGAGAAGATGATAAAGACCTTGTGCAGAGGGCAGATGTGTACTGAAACATTAAATGTCAAAGCCTGTGGGGAGTTCAAATGGCAGTCATAGCTGAAAGTAGTCTCATGTAGACAGCAATTCAGAATGAACATCAGTGCTGGTCAGCTAGAGTTTTTCCTATGCTAAGAATCACTGAAGTCATCACAATAAGATTAACTTAAGCCCTAATTTACTACTTTCATAATTAGACTTTAACTGATGTTTACTTCACTATAGAAAGTTCCTATGATAATGATGTATGAAGGACATTCACTTTATTATCCTACTAGAGGCCCAGTGCATGAAATACATGCACCGGGGTGGGGGGGGGGGGGCGTGTCCCTCAGCCCAGCCTGCTCCCTCCTTATCGCCTATCTTGCCTATCTTCTCACTGCTCCTTGCTACTCGGCTGGCTGCTTGAGGCTCCCGCCACCAGCACTGCACTCGCCTGCTGTGAGCCCCATTCTGGCTGAGCCGTGCTCCCCCTGTGGGAGCACACTGACCACCAGGGGGTAGCTCAGTGATGGCGAACCTATAACACGCATGTCACAGGTGACACGCAAACTCATTTTTTGGTTGATTTTTCTTTGTTAAATGGCATTTAAATATATAAAATAAATACCAAAAATATAAGTGTTTTACTATGGTTGCAAATATCAAAAAATTTCTATATGTGACACAGCACCAGAATTAAGTTAGGGTTTTTCAAAATGCTGACACTCCGAGCTCAAAAGGTTCGCCATCACTGGGGTAGCTCCTGCGTTGAGCGTCTGCCCCTGGTGGTCAGTGCACATCATAGCAACCAGTCGTTCTGGTCATTCTGTCCTATGGTTGCTTAGGCTTTTATCATATAGAATATAGGTTTGTAACATTATTAGCAAAACCAGCTCTGGGAAGACTTCCAGTGCATCAACAAAGAAAATACTTTGAGTTATGCCATGACAGCACTGGAAGGCCACCATATGCAAAAGGTGCCTCTGCCAAACCAAGTAAGGTGCAAACAAAAATTAACCCCCCAATCCTAACCCCACAATCTCCAGGAAACAAAGAGCTGGGGAAGCTCTTTCTGGAAAAGACGTTCAGAAAATGGAAAGTGTTCCCCTGAGTCCAGTTTTTCAGCAAGGCAGCTCGGGCAGAGCACAAGGACAAACAGACGTCACTTCAGGCAGTTTGCAGAGTCCGTGATGTCCCATCGGAACTGACAAGCCTGCACACGGCTGCAGTTAGGAGCCAATAGCAGCAACTTTGAGGTACGAGAAGATAACCGCCAGGAAGCAAACGACTCCACCTGGGACGGCCAGAACCTCGCCCATCACCTCGCACTACCAGATGCGCACGTAACTTTCACATCCCCAAAGGAGAAGGGCGGGAGGCGGCTCGCGCGGCTCCCTCCACGCCCCCGCGGTCGCGGAAGAAACCGCGGCAACGCGTGCAACGTCCAAGTCCCAACACAGGCAACCACGCTGGTCCCCAAGACAAGGAGCTAGAACCAGGCTGGGAGATCAGCAGCGAGAAGAAACCTGGGAAAGCAACTAAAACAGAAGCAGGAAAGAAGCGATGGGGGGAGAGGGGGGCGGCCCCGCCCATCCGACCCGCGAGCTGGCAGGTGCAAGCAAATGTCTAGGAAGAGGTTGTCTACTTCGCTCGGAGTTTCCCAGGAACTCGGACGTGGGCTGCCCCTTCCCGCGCAACCCCACCTGGCTCCCCTCTTCTGATGGGACCCTGAGGGGAAGCAAGGAGACACCTCTGGGGTGGCTCCCGACGAAGCTGTGAGGGGAGCATACCTGCCGATCGCACGCCCCACCACGCGAGGGGAGGGGCCCCGTGCAAAGGTGAGGCGGGTGGGCTCTGCCTTACCTGCCGCAGGAGCTTCCACCGGGCGGCTCCTAAGGGCGAGGAGACGGCGGGGCCCGGAGCCGCGCGGCCGCCGGTCGTGCCCTCGCCCGAGGCGCGCTCAGCCTCGCCGACCCCGGCGTCTGGGACTCGAGACTCCATCCCGCCGGTGCCACCTACCCACGAGCTGCCGCCAGCACGACTCTCCCCTGCCAGGACCTGCGGACGTCTTCCCTGCCAGGACCTGTGACGCCGGTCCTCCCTCCCACAGCCCGAAAGCTCCTCGAGATCCGCATTTCCGGTTTTCGCGTCTCCATGACAACCAGGCCGGCGCTGGGCCTGTCATTGCACCATTTTGCCGGCGGCCACGTTGAGTGAGGGCGCAGCGGAGGGCGAGGGGGCTGTGGCGGAGCTAGTACGCCGCGGCCCCTGTGTGTGTTCTTCTCCCCGGCCGCATCCCGAGCTCGGAATACGAGCAAAGAACCAAAAGGCTTGTCTTTTTGCGGGTGAGAGAGCCCAGGAGACGACCGGAAAGCCGTCCGTGCCCATAGTAAAGATGGCGGAACCTGCGTCGCGCACGTGCTGGGCGGGGGGTGCGTGGGCGGCGTGCCGCACACCAGCCCGGGGCGGCGCTCGGGCGGCTGCGGTCCTGCGGGCTTAGCGGGCAGACCTCGCCGGACGCGCCCGAGGCCGCACCCTCGCTCCTTCCCGAGAGCTGCGGGCTGCTCGCCGGCCCTCACTCGTCTCGGCGTCCGGAGGCAGAGCGCCTTTCCGTGGGCGCAGGTACGGGCAGCGCATGCTGGGGGTCTCTCCCCTTTCCCCGTTTCTCCTCCACCCAGCCCCCCCTCAGCCCCTTGGTCCTTGCTTCTTGGCCGTGTCCCTCCACTGCCGGGCACACGGTATGCCACTCCCTCTGCACTCAGATCGCCTCACCCCTGGGGTGGAGAGTTGCACCGGGAAAATGCCGTTTCTCCCGGGAGCACCCATTCATCGGCCCCACCCCCATCCCTAGCCTTCTCCCTGCGGATGAAAGGTGGGTGGATGGAGGCTGCCCGCGTGGATCTAGTGGTTTCGGTGATTTGCTTATTTCTACTTATTTTGCAACTGATCCCCCTATTCTCGCTCGCCCATTATTTTTGCTGCGACACAGAGATGGAGGGAGGCGGGGGCGTTGGCCTGGGAGCGCATCGGAGCTGGAGTAAAACTGACGCAGGATTGTGCCTTCGATGACCGAGGGCCGTGGGGATACTGCAGGAGGGCACTCAGTGCTGGGCAGCATCTAGATTTTCCCTGTCCTAATAGTAGTCACCATGTGATGAGTGGTTACGGCGTGCCAGGCACTGGATTAAGAGCTTAACGTATCCATTCCATAGGGTAAATGGTGCCGTTGTCTCAGTTTTGCAGAAGAAATGGAGGCACAGGTAGAAAGTGCAGGAGGGAAGAACTGAACCCCGATCTCTCTATTAACTACTTACTAGTTTTAATTACCTTGATAAGTTAGTAAGAACCAACTTCCCAAACAAATCCGAGATGCTCTCACATTTTATCTGTGCATCCTGAAGGGATTTTGTTTGTTTAGCTAAATCCCTTTCTAATGGGAAAGTCAACCGTTATGTCCCATCGTTCCCCTGTGTGTACAAGATTTGGAGCCAAACCATTTTGGACTTTTATGTTCTACTTACTCCAAGTCACCTGGGGCAATTGCTTAAACTTCCCGCAGCCACGGTTTGCTCACCTGTAAAATGTTCATTAGGATATTCTCATAATAGCTACTGTCTGGTCCTTATATAAAATCAAAGTCATTTTGCCTTTTAAAAACCCTGAGTCCCTGAGATGCCCCCATTAACTCCATGTACTTATTTGCAAATTTTTATTTTGTTTTGTTGTGTGTGTGTGTTTTGTGTTTTGTTTTGTTTTTTTAGTTTTCCCCTATGGGTACCAGAATCAGTGCTGCATAGTTTGAACGTGATAGGATTGACTTTACAAATGAAACATTTTTGTCACACCTGCCAAGAAGTATGATTTGAATGAAACTTTAACTTATACACGTTTTCAGATATTTTTAACCCGGGTTCGCAGCTGTCTGCAGTTATTCATTACCCGAGGGGTGCATGGCCCTGAAGGGGGGGGATAAGAACTGCGGATTGTAGGTACTCTGAGAACCCACTACTGTGTAATCAGACCTATGAAATCACTTGTGCTGGCAGCCCCAAAGCGAGCATAAACCAGGGACTTTGATATCATGCAGCAGAAGAGCAAATTATTTCTCCAGGCTTTGAAGTATAGTATTCCTCACCTTGGGAAATGCGTGCAGAAACAGCACTTGAATCACTGTAACTTCGCCGATCATTATTACAGTAGAATAAAATTGAAAAAATATCACCTAACCAAGTGTCTGCAGAGTAAGCCCAAGATATCAGAGTTAGCAAGAAACATCCCAAGTCGGAGCTTCTCACGTAAGGTACGGACTGTTTAAGTTTACCTATTTGTAGGTCATTAAGATTAATTTTAACCTAAAGATAATTCTAGTTTGATTTTTTTAATATCTATAATTGTCTATAATCAAATTGTCTATAGTCAAATTAAGTATAAAAGAATATATATATTTATAGAGTTCTAATTTAATATATAAAAATACACTCATGTAATGATTCACCTTAGAAATTCCTTAGTGTGCCTACCAATGTAATTCAAAGTATAATTCAGTTTTCTCAAATTCCTAGAATATCGTGATAGCTCTTAATAAAATCTAATATTATAGTAATTGTTTTCAAATTAGTAAACTTCAGTAAAGGCCATGTACTTGTGTGTTACTTCTGTGTAAAAAAAAAAAAAGGAAAGGAAAAGAAAAGAAAAAAAAAAAGACTTGCATTTTTTACCACTTGGGTCCTTTAGGAAGATGCTTTCAGACTATTGTGCTTTGGCCAGACCCCAGGCTGCATTCATGACGTCTGCCTTGAGAACCCAACTGCCCTTATATGTAAAGGAACACATCCTGGTTTGCCTGAGATGGTCCCGGTCTACACCTGCTGTCCCTGTGTAATTATTAATAGTGTCTCCTTTCCTCTCAAAGTGTCCTGGTTAGGATGGTAAATTATATGTTCATCCTACTTGTTTGAGATTGAGTTATTTATTTATACTGCTGCTGCTTTGAAATACCTATCCTACCTTATGCTTGTTATACTTCTAATATTTTATTAATTTCTGGTTTTAACTGTTTTGTTGCATACTGATTTTTTTTCTTACTCTGTTTTTACTTCCTCATTTTTTATTGTAGTTAAATATTCATCATATAACATTTGTTATTTAAACCCTTCTTAAGTGTAATTTAATAACATTAATTTCATTCACAATGTTGTACAGCCATCACCACTATCTATTTCCAAACAAAACCCTTTCATTACCCAAAAACATATACCCATTAAGCAATAGCCTACCTTTTTTGAGCCCCTGGTAACCTTTAATCTACTTGGTCTTTATGAATTTGCCTATTCTAGATAATTCATAATAGTAAGTAGAATCATAATATTTACCCTTTTGTGTTTGGTTTATTTCACTTAGCATAATATTTTTAAGGTTCATGTTGTAGTATATATCAGAACTTTATTCCTTTTTATGGCTAAATAATATTCCATTATATGTCTATACCACATTTTATTTATACATTCATCTATCTATGGACACTGGAGCGGATTCTTCTAATTTTAGAAATGACTTTTTAATATTATTTTACTCGGTTTATCTGTGTTTTTTATATAATTCTTGCTCTTTTAACTAATACTTATGGGTTTTGTGGGGGGGGGGGGGGGGTTTGCTTTTAACTTTTTATCAGTTAGTCCCTAGACTTTTACTCCTTACATTTTATTCTTTTTGTTGCATGTTTTATCACTCCTTACATTTTAGTCTTTCAAATTATTTTTCTTTTTATAGCATCTTAATTTAGCACTTTGATTCTTTCTATAAATTCTTTTTTTTTTAAGATCTAATTGACTTTATTATGTAATTCATGAAAGGGTCAGCATCCCATCTAGCAACTAGAAGGTGCTCCCTCATGCAGAAATTCTTTATGTCTTCCTTTTATTTCATTTTTACCTTGTGTGTACACACATGCGTAACTTTAGCATACTTTAGAAAGATAAACTTAAATTTTACCTATTGGACACATTTTAGACCTTTAGATCATTTTATTTTGTATGTGTTTAGAACATTTTGTCATCTTGTGCTTTTATGTTGAGTCTTAGTTTATAAATAGTAGGCAGGAATTACCATCAGAGTAACAGCTGTGATATTAGGTCACACTCTGTGCAGGAGATTGACTTGTTTCCCCTCCATTTGTCCCTGAAGCAACTTGTTAATTCTCTTTTGTAGATACCTATCACCTAGAAACTTTATCCTGATATGGTGACTCCAAGTTAAGAGGCTCTTTTAGTAATTCTTTTGCCTAATAAAGTGGCCCTGCTTTCATATGTCAACCATTCCCTCTTAGAGAAAAGATAAGATCTAAAAGTTGGGATCTCTGTCCTTAATGGTCACTGGGACCTGGAGAAGCTGTGAAGAGGCCTATAGACAAGCATGTACACTTCCTTTCAACCAGCATTTACTCAGCTTCAACTTTGTCCACTCTCATGGGTGCAATAAAGTAGAAAAAGTCCTTAGTTCCTATGGACAAAACATTTGCTTACAGTACAGACCTAATTATATAAGGTAACGTTTTCCTGGTTTTCCTTCTACCTTACAAACCTATCCTCACGCTCCTTTCCTAACTTTTCTTTCATATGACCTCTACATTTTGGAGTTTTTCGGAGCTTAGTCCTGGCCCCTTTTTCTCTCTTAAGTAATTTTCCCTACAGTGGCTCTAAATACCGTAGCAATTATCTTCATTCCAAACTCCCCTTCGAGCTGCACATCGTGGACCTCTCACTGACTTTTCAAACTACCCAGAGTTGAACCTCAACTCTTCCAACCCCAACTCGCCTCTTCTTTATCTCATTACTCTATGCTCAGTTATTCAAACTGGGACACAGGAAACATTGTTTATCCCTCCTGTCCCTTTACCGTGCCATCACATCCATTAACAGTGTATCCTGAACTAGCTTCATGATTTTTACCACATAGGCTATTATTTAATTATTTTAGTTTAATAGACCTGACTTATCCCAAGGAATAATATTCAGTAAATCATTGGTCTGATGTGTTAATTATATTCTTTCTAATAAATTTTTCATATCCAAATTATGTATACCATCATGTCTGAGATGTTTTCAGAAACACTGCATTAGCTTCCAAAATACATATTGAATCTGTTCATGTTTCTCCATCTCTGTCATCATCACTCAGTCATCTTTAACCTGGACCACTGGTAAAGCCTCCTAACCAGATTTTTTGCTTGTCTTCTTCTTCCCTTTTCTTTTCCTTATTTATTTCTGTGTGTGTGTGTGTGTGTGTGTGTGTGTGTTATTGACATCCCCCGTTTTCTCCCTTTTGCCCCGCTCCACCCAGCCCCACCCCACCCCAGGCCTTCACCACATTATTGTCTGTGTCCATGGCCTATGCATATACGTTCTTCGATTAATGTCTTTCCCTT